GGCAACCTCGCTGTAACATTATCACGCGATCATCAATGTCCCAGATTGCCTCGTGCTGGGACAGGAACGAGCGAACATCGGTTCTTTGTTATGAATTTCGTAAAAAAGAATCCAAGCATGTGGTGACCGTCAGCTGGAGGGCAGGCTCCAGCAAACGTTTTGTTTGTTGGGGAGGTTCATTCCAGCGAACCAAATTGCCCCTATGGAATGTTCGCTCGAGCAGGGTCCAACACGACCCCCCAACTGACCCAGATAGCATGCCAGGGAAAAAAGCTAGGTCCAATTAATTGCTTTTTGTAAAAAAAATACCATCAGAAAAGAAAAAAATGTTGATACGTAAAAGGCAGAGAACATAAATTTACAAACTGCTATGCTCTCGAAATATGAAAATGCCTATATTTGCTTTGTCGAAAACAAGAAATAAATGTAGCATGCTATAGATTAAAAAAATGTTGCGCTCTTCATGAAAGAAAAAAAAGGCATGCTTTTAATGATAAAAAAAATCGTGTTCTTACTAACAAAAGTGACATGCTCTACATAAATAAAAAAAATATCATCCTGTTTAATAGTATAAAAAATGACATGCTCTATAGAATAAATGTCATCCTCTTTGTAACAAAAATGCCATCCTTTACAAAAAAATGCCATGCTCTTAATACCAAAAATGCCATGCTATTTAAAAAATGCCATGCTACTTCAAAACTTCAATGCTATTAAAATATGCCATGCTATTTAAAAAATTCCATGTTCTTAATAAAAATACCATGCTCATTAAAAATAAAAATGCCATTCTAATTAAATATAAAGATGGCATGCTCTTAATAACAAAAATGACTTCCTTGCACAAACTAAAATGACATGGTTCCTAAACAAAAATGCCATTCTACCTATAATACAATTGCACATGGCAAGTTTAGAAAAATTGCCCTGTAAACAAACATGGCAACTTTCTAGATTCGTAAAAAAATGGGCATATGGCAAAAAAAATTGCACATGGCAAGTTTTTTTAAATGTGTTCTCTAAAAAAACATGGCAGCCTTTTGGATTTGCAGGTTTTTTTTCTTTTCAAAAGACACAATTTTTTTGGAATTTCAGCATTTTTTCAGGCAAAAAATTCCAAATAGAAAGAAAGAATTCATTTTATCTTCAAATCATACAAGAAGTTTGATCTGAAAATATCCACAATCTGTTTCTTTGCCTAAGTTGTGAGACCGCCCTCATTTCTTCATGAGGCCGCGAGGTTGAGCCACTGATCAGCCATATACTCCTACTTCAAGATTCGTGAGCGAGATTAAGGGTTCCTGGTACGTTCGTCTTAGATTTCTTTTTTTTTTGAAAAACCCCTCCATGTATTAATTAACTTAAAATGTTCATACAATCATTCGTTACAAACTTTGCCACGCAGGGCGGAACAGAATAAAACATAATATCATCAGAACTATTATCAAAACTAAACTTTGCAATCTCATGAGCCACCATATTAGCCTTCCTGTTGATCTTAGAAATCTGTAAATTCACCAACAACTTTGAGACATCTACAGCTTCCTTCTTTAGATCAACAAGGGATGATCTGTCCACATATTCTTTACCAAAAACGGAGGCTACAAACGAACAGTCAGTTTCGAAAATGACGGGCATGTCTAGAGTCATACCAATATATAGGCCGGACAAGGACGCTCTAAGTTCCGCTTCCTCAACGCTGTAGCAAGTACCAATATAATCCCAAGAGGATAGGATCACTTGTCCACGGTGATTTCTAACAACCACCCCCACGCTCGCAGCTTCAATGGCCTCCACAAAACTTGCGTCGACATTAATTTATAGACGTCTGGGGTAGGTGGCCTCCAAAGAGTAACCTGCCTCTCAATGTCATTGGTTGGCTGAAGATCCAACTCCACTTGCTTCCCCTTACTGCATATCTCCACCTACATTTTAGCAAGACAAGACGAGAAAGATGCCCAATAATTTTCGACAAAACTTACCGAGGCTGAGATGGATTCCATTCCCTTACCAAAGATCAAATCATTCCTCAAGTGCCAAGCTCTCCAAAACATGAATATAGTTTGCTCACGAACAGGCGTAGTTAACTGGTCCAATAGAATAAGGAACCAATCCGGTCCAGAATATTTGAAGGTCTCCTCCGCTGGTAATTTCCAAACTTCCTTCAGAGCCATGCGGAACGCACAAGCCTTGGGACAAACCACCAAAGCATGGAAAATACACTCATCATCAATACCACATATTGAGCATGTACCTAGAGTAGTTTGATAATGTTTAACCCTATTGAGTTGAACCGCCAAACTATTAGAAGCAGCCCTCCAGGCAAAAAATTTAATTTTTTGGGGGACATTAGCATTCCAAATAATATTCCAGAGCCTCCTATCCCCATTTATGGCATCACTTGAATTGCCAGAAACACTCCTCGGCTCTTTAAGATTCAGAGCTAGTCTATACGCACTCTTCACGGAGAACAAGCCACTTTTCTCGTGGTGCCAAGCAATAAAGTCTCCCTCGCCCACTCGAAGAATACGGAGCTTTAGGATTTCCTCTGCATCATGAATATAAAATAGATGCCTTATCAGGTTCTCATCCCAACTCCTGGTTGCACTCAAAAATAACTCGGAAACCAATTTGATCCTAGTTCTGCTCTTTTTACCACAAATTTGTAGGCCAGATTCCCTAGGGATCCAATTATCCCTCCAAATATTTATACTAGTCCCATCGACCACTCTCCAAATAATGTCTTTTTTTAGCAATTCAAGGCCATGCATAATTCCTTGCCAAGTAAGGGAAGTAGCTTGAGGGAATACCGTATCAATAAGGTGCCCATGAG